GGGGGGGGATTTTCCGTGATTAGAAAATTTTATCTGCTATATTTAATATAATAATAATAATAATAATAATAATAATCACAACAACAACAACTTCTCTAAACAATGAACGCGCGGGATAACACTCATTAAATCTTTGTACGACTTCTAACTAATACTATTCCTAAGATTGAGCGTCTCTGAGGAACTTAGATGCTATGAAAAGAGTGGAATGGAGATGGCAGTCAGCGAAATCGAAGGAAACGTGCAAACCTGAATTAATTTGTATAAGTGCGCAGGAAGCGGTAGGCCAGACTTTGTGTAAAGAAAAAAGGCTTACTTTTAAAAATAGCTTTTTTTGAAAAATTTTATTTGCGTGAAATATATTTCATAAAAATTCATATATTTGAGCAAGATAAAACGGAGGCACGTTATTAATTGAGACAGTTTTTGATCAAATAAATATATAGAAACAAAAATTAATTAACCGATAGAATCAGTTCTGCAATTTACTTCTTTTCATCATGCGATGTACACGTTTCGTGAGAACATTCATGTATGGGGATGCATGGACCGTCATCGCCACCGCGTCTCGCGTATCCTTTCTTGCAGTAACAAGCGTTATTACATGTCTGAAAGAAAAATAATAAAAGTAAGAAAAAATAAAAATATTGCAATAACATTTCAGCCCGTTATCAATTAATTTTTCTTTTTGAATACGTTGATTTATTCATTTATTAAAAATTATAGATCTATATACTTATATATATAAATTATAGATAATTTTCTAAAGAGAATTTTAGAAATAAAACAATAAATAGAAAGCATTTATATACTTACAATGTTTATTATCTTGCAAGTTTGGCCTAAGTTACAGCAAGTTGTTTGACAGGCCGATCCGCAATCATACTCTTCGTTTTTGCGATCACAAATAAGCTTTTCAGCAAATATATCTATAAGTATCTAAGTGAGTTATTGTGTATTATTATTACTTCTTATTGATAAAAATAACACGAAAGACGTTTAATGAATATGCATAAGTATAATGTTTCATACAAACGGTAATGCGTTACTATATAATTTCTTTCAAATTCTCTTAACAGATCACTTGAAAAGATAGAAAAAACAATATTTAAAATAAAAAATGCTGTGTTCACGATATATTTTTTACAATTAAGTGATTTTACAAAATAAATATATATTTACTTGTAAAAAATATTGTTAATGCTACAAATAACACAATTGTTGCTCGAGACATGACGATGGATCTTTTGACCGTATAATTCGCCACTTGACACAATCCACAACTGATACGAGTCGTAGCCTCGAGTCCTTATATATACAGCTTGTTGGGAATACCGTCGATAAGATATGATAATTATATCTTCCTAAACGTGAGTGAGCGTTCAGAAATTCTTTTGCGTGAAATTATAATTTTCTACAGGTTTATTATTATTTATACAAACGTTTTCTCTTCTCTCTCTACTTTCTTCTTCTTTCACTTGTTTCTTTCTGTCTTTTTCTCCGTAAATGCAGCGAAAATAATTTTACACCTGCTGTTTGGATAAACGACAACGACGACGAATGTGTTATAATATTTCTTTTTCCTATTCGTGAAGCGGTTTGTTCAGCTATTATAAGCATTGCTTTACTTGAGAATATCTGGGGAAGTCCAAGTCAACTATTATTCAGCTGACATATCATGATTTTCTTTATACCGTTACATAAACATTTTAAAGTAATTATATACAATTAGAGGATCGCTGTGCATCACAAAGTAGTCATCTGGCTACTATTTATTTTTGCAAATTCATATTCAGCAGATGCATACAATGAACACGTCGCATAAATCGTTATCAGCCATTTCGATTGGCAAATTACATATGCGTGTATTCACACTGCTCGAACACATTAAACGCCAAGGTTGGAATTAATTCTTACGTCAACGGGTATGTCCCGCTGTTTACTAAAAGAATAATTCCTTATAGGATTAATGTATATTCTGCATGGCAACAGATTATTTTATATGTAATTATTTGTTCTTGCATTAAGCTCTCAACCTTTAAAACTCTTTCTATAAAATTACAGCTTATTTAATGTTAATGTCTGCTAATCGTTTCAGGCATTATAAAAAAATTAAATGTACACTTTCTTAGCAATACGTAGCAATAACGTTCTAATCCAAATGTTACTTCAAATTACGAGATATTGGTATGACAAACATTATGCATAACGCGGTTTTTTTGTTTTTTTTTTAGCGGAACGAATAGATTGATCGACCTTCGATCGGACGAAGCCTTTTCGATCATGTTTTTGATACGATGTGACAATTCGGTGTTCTTCTACCCGAACACGTGATGAGACACGCGTGCTTCATGTTTACTTATGTTGTTGTTGGTTAGTAATCCGCGTGTTATTGTTTAGAGATCGTTTGCCGCATCATGCTCGGCTCACATGATGAGCATGATAACATTAACGACTTCAATTAGAATTTTGAACATGCTTAATGAAGTTTCTTAAAATTACCGACTGCGAACACATGTACCGATATATGTACCTAGTACAACTTTTAACGACGGATGGTTAACGGGATCTATTCACTTTTTTCCCAGTAAAGTTCTTCCTGTACAGCGTAAGGTAAGTTTTTACTACTCTGCGGATAAGAACATTTTTTAAAAATTTACAGAATAAATTTTTAATATATTTTATTTGTAAACTTTTTTAATAAATTTTCTACTTAGCATACCTGTACTATTTTGTATACTCAATTATACTCGATCCTCGCTATCGTATATATAAATAAAATAAGAACCATAAAATAGATTTAAACAATTTGAAATATCTCCTTAACGGAGAAATATGAAATTATAAATAACTCTAGCAAAGATTACTATAGAAATTAATTTCTTAATTTCCAAGGTAGACAATTTTATCTATCATGTGTACTAATATCCATCACAGGTCCTCTCAACTATGCATAGTTTGCACCAGATGGCAACGTCATACTGTTTGCAGCTATACCAACCGTTCAACTTTAATTTGTAAATATGCAACTGTTTCCACTCTAAAAGAAGACATGCAAGAGTTATTGCCGTTTTTCCGCAAAGTTAATTGGCGATTTCGGAATCTCGATTTCGATGCGAGTCGTCACTTACGACTGTCATTACGTAAGTTGATGGAAAAAGATATCATTTTCTCGTCAATATTAGAATCTGATGCTTATTTAGTTACATGAACTGAGATTTTTTCCGTATAACAATAACAAGCCAAATAGCGCGCTCGCGTAACGCGCGTCTATATTGGCCTCGTTATATAAAATAAACAAAAATGAGACATCAAAGCGTAATACGATAAATCAGAAACAAGTGATATCATCATGAACATCGCGATATTACGGTCTCGTGTATTAATTACCCCGTGACAGAGTGAGTAGAATGAAATACGTGGAGCAGAAGTAATCGTGGTTAAACTATAATAAGCATATTTTATTAAGATAATGGCACGAATCGCGTGTCCGTTTCCTATACAATCATATAACAATGAAACCGTGTAACGGACAGGATGAACACCAAGGAAATTATTTCACGAACCGCTCCCGTCCGATTATAATGATTAAGAGGAAATAGCGTCGCGCTCGCAATTCAAGTCCGACATGAAGTCTCCGGTTGCCAAAGAATTCGAGAGAGTGTATAAAAAAAGGAGAAAAAAGGGAAAAGGAAAAATGCGCACGCTTTATTCGAACGGCGCGCAAGCGAATCTCGAACACGATCGTAATTCTCCCGGACAGATTTTCCCGGGCAACTTGCTCTCGCACCATGTTTGCCTTGTATAATAGCGGAGTATAAAGTTTCTGTACGAGAGCTTACTACGAATGGATATCTCCGCAAGCACTTTCTCGCTTGTCCACCCGCTAGTACCCGAATTCGAAAGCAATCGCAGCCTCGGAGCAGTTTCTACCCCGCGGCGTGGTAATCTGATTTTGGTGCAGCGAGCGGCTTTACTGGTGCCTTCTCTACCTGCCGCCCTAAAACACTTGAGCATAGGTAGGATTATGTGTACGTTATGTACGGTAAATAAAAGCTCTCTTTCGTACATGCTAAGTGTTCATTTACACCCACCGTATTCCAGTTTTCATGCTACTCGATGTCCCTGTACGCAGATTTTTCGAACAATTTAATAGCGACTTTGAAACCGATCACGATGCATCGATAGTGTAGAAATCGCGAGCAATCGCAGGGAAATAATTTCCACATCGCCCACTGATAAAGTGTTACTACGGTTTTAAAATTTATATCGCTCACGATTAAAAAAACGAAAGGAAAGACAGAAAAACACGAAGCGTGTATAAACGGCGAGGCAGCCGAAGCAAATATTGTGCGATTATTATTTTTGATCCATTTTGCTTTTGGAAATATAGAAAATACGGAACAGAGAATAATATCGCAACGAATATAAAAACATACAGGCAATCTAAAATATACTCTTCACTGTCGTCCGTTTCTATCTCTCGAATATCGCTCGTCAGGTGCACCATTGTCGTCATTCGAGAGATCTCCGAGACGCAGCCGTAACGTTTAGTCCCGTTGATTTTGCTCTCAGCGACAGTCTCGGGAGCCGTCGGTCGAATCGACGTTAAATTACGGCTCACAAACAGCTCGACGGAAATATGTTTTTGCGCGTACATTTTTATAGTACATCGTTCGACGTGTGATCTATGTGCATAGGAAGACCGCTGCATCCTTCGACAACAAGGACCGTTTATACGACTCATAAAAAAAAAAATATCGACGACTTCATCAGCGACGCGCGTATTTTCGATTGTACATTTTCTGCGTTAAATTCAGCTCGCGCGCGCGTACTAAAAGTTTCACAGGATACGTCCGCTCAATTGTACGATAGTTCCGGGACGTCCTGTATGAGCGAATAATCCTTACGTAAAAAGTACTCGCTTCGGCTTTAGCGAACTGGGACGCGCTGATATTAAATTCTTCCTACTATCACAAGAACTCCGGCGCCATACTCTTGAAAAAGAAACTCCCTACGAGCATTCGGATCAAATAATGGCATGACACGTTCCACTTGCATTTTGCATTTTTCATCCATTGCGGCGTATCAGCAATTCCATGACCAGCAACGTGCTTATAATTTCGCTAACGTCCATAGATCTCACGCTTCTCTCGCGCGTAGGCGATTTCACCGCATTCGCAGTGATTTCACCGTGCGTACGATTTAACGTGTGCGCGCGAGCCGCGTTACCGCCGTACGGCATATTCACGATGTCGCGGGAGTTTTGAAAAAAATTCCGATTTTCATGAATTTCGCGGATAAGGTATGCTTAATACAAACTTTCTTTCGCGCGCGCGCACAGCTGCGTCCGGGGAATAGAGCTGACGCTCGGGCTTTTTTCGCAACTCCATCGAATCGGTCGCGTGAATGGTTAAGAGGGTAGAAACTTGTTAGCTGACTGATTCAGGTGGACAAAAGCTGACGATTCCAGGGGATAGGCTGCCACGACAGAGACAAGCGGAGTGTCCAACCCTCATTGTCCAATGTTCCCCCTCGTTCGTTCTCGTCATTGCTTCCCACCCGTGTCCGCCGAGGATGAAGAATCATTTTGCCTTCTGCCTTTATCCCGCAAATCACTTACTTAAGATCGATACCGCTAGGCTAACTCGGGCAAATAAAATCCCGTTCTAGAATGTGTTCGTATACGGGAACAAATCGAGTCAGTCAAATAGCATATCGCGAAGACCGATTACTTTATCCCGTCATAAGGTCGACGGTCGCTTTTTTACAATGTATACTACGGTGAAAGAAAGAAAGAGAGAGAGAGAGGGAGAGAGAAAAAAGGACGCACATCTCTCATAGTGAAATGAGGTAACGGGCTGAAGGTAAAGTTACTCGGATTTATAGTGCCGCAGTAAACACAACGCGGCAAATCAGTGCGTCGTAACGATAGCGTGGGACTTTCTTTAAGCTTTTCCGAAGTGAATATTTTCGCCAGAGATTACCGCACATTTGGCGCAAATTATTTGCATCCAGGTTCCGTATAATATTTAATGGATTATGCGACAGTGTCACGCAAGCGTGTGGCGGAGAATAAGATAGCATTAGGGAGCGGGTCACGAAAGCGGCGCACACGCTATACTATTACCGTCGTTCAAACTGGAGGAGAACATTAAAAGACAATGTTAAACGTCCTTATCGGGGCTACTTACTCAATGCTTTTTCCGTGCGCGCATTTCCTTCCACGGTGCTTAATTCGCCGAAGTAATTTTCTTTTTTTTAATT